CATTGTTAGACCGATCATTTCTGTGTGAGGGGGGAACATTCCATTGTTAGACCGATCATTTCTGTGTGAGGGGGGAACATTCCATTGTTAGACCGATCATTTCTGTGTGAGGGGCGAACATTCCATTGTTAGACCGATCATTTCTGTGTGAGGGGCGAACATTCAGCATCAGCAGGGGAGCAAATACACATTTCCTTCACTGTATGTATATACACACACTACATACTGCATGTTGAAATGTTTTTTTTTATATTCCAAAATATATGAAAAATGGTTTTTAAAATATATATTTTTTTAAATATATTCTTCAGATTTTTTTTTTTATATATATATATATATATATATATATATATATATATATATATATATATATATATATATATATATATATATATATATAAATAAAAGAGTCATTTTAACACTTTTACATATATTTGTAAATGCATTCCAAAAATGTAGATTTGTATTTTAAAGATACAACAGTATATTGTAAATGTATTTTTAAAAATACTGTTAGTAAATAAATATTTTGTAATAAAAACGCGTTTCAACATACAGTATATATTATATAAAAATACGGCCAAAATTGTAGCATTTCAAATAAATTTTTCTTCCATGTGGGATGCAGCTGCAAGAAAGGATGATTTATTGGCTGCACCTGTCCGAGGTTGTGTGTTGAGAGCGCGCTGACCGAACGTTCGAGGCTTGTGATTGGGAGCCAGAGGGACAGGCTCCCGATCATGTGACCGCTGTGGGAGCCAATGACAGCGGTCACATGATACAGAAGCCGCCCCACCTCCCGGGGCCCTACGCCGGTAAAGGGTTTTCCTGTCTCCAATGACACCACGCCATACGTCACACGGTAAAATAGTTTATTTCAGAGTTCAATGCAATAATCATCTTAAAACAAAACAAAAAAATACAAATGACCGTATAAGTTAAATTATATAAAAAAAAACTAAAATAAGTTATTTTCTAAAAATTAAAAAAAAGTGCAAAGTCTTCTGCCAGAAATAATTTATTATCCATCGATTTTCTAGTGTTTTTTTTTTTTTCAGGTCACCTGTTAAAGGGGGAACATTCGGTACGGTACGGGGGGGGGGGGGGTAAGTATAACCATTTCAATGCCCATGGTGGGGGTGGGGTGAAGGGTAAGACCCTTTTTTCTGTACCGGAGACCCGGCGGCGAGGCGGGTGAACATGCAGGGAGAGCCGATCGAACTGTACGTATTTCTCAATGGACAGCGATTTCAAGGGGCGGAGCCCCAGTATGACTTTAATTACATTTCCGGGTTCTATAAAAGTTGCATTGCTGGTTAATGGGCCGGCCTACGTCTGCGCGGCTCCGCCTCCGCCTGCATGTCTGTGAGGCTTTCCGCACGCAAACTGATTGTCAGACACAAAACTGTAAAGTGCGCTGCTCCCGATCCCTGCGTCAGGTCACCGTCCTAAAGAATGGAGGAGTGCTAAACCGCCGACGGGGGCCCCCCCCAAAAAGTCAAGCGAGTCTAGGAAGCCAAAAAAAAAAAAAAAAAGAAAAGTTGGCTGCACTCCAGAAAAGTTCAAATTCTGGCAACTTTATTGTTTGTTTCCTGCTCACCAACTTGTATTTGTTGGCAGCCAATGAGCAGGGAACATTGGCCACTTCTTAGCCGGACTCTACAGCAATGCTTTCATTTCACCGAGCCACTGACTACCACGGAGAAGGAACACTCCCGGCACAGAGCGGCTACTAAACTCTGCATGTTAATGCCGGTGTGTACAAAGCCCCTAGGTCTATGCTGGAGGACATCATTCAGGGGACACCAGTTGAGCCGGATAGGTGCCTTGTGAATGGCCAGCTGTCAAAAAAAGATAAAAAACGCCCAGAAAAACAGAATTTTTTCAGTACCTGACCTAACAAATGGGTCAAAATCCCACAGACACCCTCCAAAATCTTGGAGAAAGTCTTCCCAGAAGATAGGAGAATGTTATGGCCACAAAGGTTTGGTTTGACCAATCAGGTGAGGAACTCGAGTATCCTGACCGCAACCGTACTGGACAGTTATGGGATGAATTGGAACACCCATTGTGAGCCAGGTCTTCTCATCCAACATCAGTACCTGACCTTACAAATGGGTCAAAGAGCCAACAGACACCCTCCACTCTTTTGGGAAGACTTTCTCCAAGATTTTGGAGAATGTTATAGCCACAAAGGTGGTCCAAGTCTTGAAAGACATGGTTTGACCAGTTAGGTGAGGAGGAACTCGAGTGTCCTGACCTCAACCGTACTGGACAGCTATGGGATGAATTGGGACACCCATTGTGAGCCAGGTCTTCTCATCCAACATCAGTACCTGACCTCACAAATGGGTCAAATTCCCATAGACACCCTCCAAAATCTTGGAGAAAGTCTTCCCAGAAGATAGGAGAATGTTATGGCCACAAAGGTTTGGTTTGACCAATCAGGTGAGGAACTCGAGTATCCTGACCGCAACCGTACTGGACAGTTATGGGATGAATTGGAACACCCATTGTGAGCCAGGTCTTCTCATCCAACATCAGTACCTGACCTTACAAATGGGTCAAAGAGCCAACAGACACCCTCCACTCTTTTGGGAAGACTTTCTCCAAGATTTTGGAGAATGTTATAGCCACAAAGGTGGTCCAAGTCTTGAAAGACATGGTTTGACCAGTTAGGTGAGGAGGAACTCGAGTGTCCTGACCTCAACCGTACTGGACAGCTATGGGATGAATTGGGACACCCATTGTGAGCCAGGTCTTCTCATCCAACATCAGTACCTGACCTCACAAATGGGTTTCCCACAGACACCCTCCAAAATCTTGGGGAAAGTCTCTTCGAATATTATGGCCACAAAGGGGTCCAAGTCTCAAAAGACATGGTTTGACCAATCAGGTGAGGAGGAACTCGAGTATCCTGACCGCAACCGTACTGGACAGCTATGGGTGAATTGGGACACCCATTGTGAGCCAGGTCTTCTCATCCAACATCAGTACCTGACCTCACAAATGGGTCAAATTCCCACAGACACCCTCCAAAATCTTGGGGAAAGTCTTCGAATATTATGGCCACAAAGGGGGTCCAAGTCTCAAAAGACATGGTTTGACCAATCAGGTGAGGAGGAACTCGAGTATCCTGACCGCAACCGTACTGGACAGCTATGGGATGAATTGGGACACACATTGTGAGCCAGGTCTTCTCATCCAACATCAGTACCTGACCTCACAAATGGGTCAAATTCCCACAGACACACTCTGTTGTTCACAAGGTTTCCTTCTTTTAGAATCTCTATGATGCAAGGACAGATCAGAATTTCACAAAAACTCAGCTGGAAAAGGTGTTTTTTTTAATACACCCGGAATAAACTTGCGATGGAGGATAAAGATCCGTGCGTGAAAAGTGACGACTAATGCCCGGCGTCTGGCGTGCCGGCAAAAACGTTGGCATAAAGAGGAAAGACATCCAACTCTCCCGGTGGGGTAAGAAAACCAACCTCAGGATCACCCAAGACAGTCCTCCAATGGCTCGACCGATCTCAGACAAAGAAATTGCTCCTTTCGTTTTGTCGTGTCACCCCCACACCCCCCCCACAAACACAAAAAACCTACATTCAATGGCTGTGTATGAAATGATCCTTGTCGGCTCAGATCGTTGGATTCCCTTCAGTCCGTTTTTTTAATGTGTGGCAAAAAAAAGGCAAAAACGGGGTACAAAGAAACACACGTAGGACCCTTTCCTCGAAGAAAATGTCGCCTTGCAGCTTGGTGGTCCTGCAATCTTCAGACAGCAGGTGGCGCCGCAGGATAGCGGTGCCACATAGATATCCCCTCCCCCCCAATACTTCCTATCTAAGAGGTTCTACTCAAACGCTACATCGGACACGGGAGTGCGATCTGTAATCGAATGGCGTAAAGATCGTCCAGAATTTCCTATCGATAAACTCTGCAGCAAAATAGTTAAAATTTCCATAAATTGTCGTTTTTTTTCACCGACTCGGGTGACCTGGAGGAAAAAAAAGTTCCTGCCTAGCTTTATTGCTCGTCCACGGAGGGAACACAAAAATAGCCGCAAGATAAAGACTAACAGATGTGTGACATAGCACAGCGGGACTGCGATTTACATTGAGAATGGCCGATATTCACCAGGAACCCAGATTTCGCCCCCCCCCCCCCCATATCAAATCTTATTGAGGCAAGACTGACCTCTACGGTGAATGTTATAGCTCGGAACAGAGGAAGAAAGGTTCAAATTTTTGGGAGCTGCACGTAGATGCAGTACTCAGGGTCCTCCAGCAGGCGGGCTCTTGAGGCAGCTGCACGTAGATGCAGTACTCAGGGTCCACCAACAGACGGGCTCTTGAGGCAGCTGCACATAGATGCAGTACTCAGAGTCCACCAACAGGCGGGCTCTTGCAGCTACGTAGAGCAGGTCTTCCAGCAGGTGGGCTCTTGAGGTAGCTGCACGTAGATGCAGTACTCAGGTCTTCCAGCAGGAGGGCTCTTGAGGCAGCAACACAGATGCAGTACTCAGGTCTTCCAGCAGGCGGGCTCTTGAGGCAGCAACACAGATGCAGTACTCAGGGTCCACCAACAGGCGGGCTCTTGAGGCAGCTGCACGTAGATGCAGTACTCAGGGTCCTCCAGCAGGTGGACTCTTGAGGCAGCAACACAGATGTAGTACTCAGGTCTTCCAGCAGGCGGGCTCTTGAGGCAGCTTAAAGCTTTTTCCTTTTTGATTGATGTAGCTGAATCGAACTTAAGACACAAGCAGGCAGTGAGTGGCATAGTCAATGGCGTCAGAATAGAGCGGACCCCCCCCCCCCCCTTTAACGCAACAAAGCGAGCGCCCCCCCTCCGGTCAGTTTTCTTGCTCCTGGCAAAGATTTGGGGGTACGCCGTGAAAAGCGCGAAGATCTCCCTGGCAGGATCAATGTCTTGTATTCACAGTTTTTTTTTTTTAAAAAAAAGGGACTGGAGGTCCCCCTCCCCCGCGGTGTTTGTCAGTCCAGTGTGGGCCAAGAGGGGATATAAAACCTTTGCAATGAGCCCTCTAAGAGCCGCTCCATCCATAACGACAGCTTATTCAATTTCTTTTTGATGTGGCCGGAGCCGGAGCCCAGCGAGATCTTGCGGAGCGTGTCGCCGCCTCCGCCGCCGGGTGGGCAGTGCTCAGCCTCGTCCAGCAGCTTCTCGTCCTCCAGCGTGGACTGCGCTTTGAAGAGGCAGAAGTATTTCTTGTGGCCGTTCAGGGCCAGGACGTAGCCGGTGTAGTCCCTCTCCAGGAAGTGCTCGTCGTACTGGTAGGCGATGGGAGCCGCGTCCTGAGCGAACTCCAGGAGGTATTCCAGCCATTCACGATGCTTTTCCAGGTTGAGGAACGAGAAGTGGAGGGAGCTGCTCCTGGAACGGGAGAGGATGGACTCATTAGAATTCCTGACAGGAGGAAACGGTCCTATCAGTGCCAAGAGACCTCGTCTGCTCCCCTAACATCATCTACTGACCAACCGAAGACCTCCTCTGCTCCCCAACATCATCTACCGACTACAAGAGACCTCCTCTGCTCCCCAAACATCATCTACCGACTCCAAGAGACCTCGTCTGCTCCCCAACATCATCTACCGACTCCAAGAGACCTCCTCTGCTCCCCAACATCATCTACCGACTCCAAGAGACCTCCCTGCAACAACATCATCTACGACTACAAGAGACCTCCTCTGCTCCCCAAATCATCATCTACCGACTCCAACAGACCTCCTCTGCTCCCCAACATCAACCGACTCCAAGAGACCTCCTCTGCTCCCCAAACATCTACCGATCTACTGACTATCGACTCCAAGAGACCTCTTCTGCTCCCCAAACATCTCTACCGACTCCAAGAGACCCCTCTGCTCCCCAACATCATCTACTGACTCCAAAAGACCTCCTCTGCTCCCTAACATAATCACTGACTCCAAAAGACCTCATCTGATCTGACTCCAAGAGATCTCCTCTGCTCCCCAACATCATCTGACTCCAAGAGACCTCCTCTGCTCCCCAACATAATCTACCGACTCCAAGAGATCTCCTCTGCTCCCCAATATCATCTACTGACTCCAAGAGATCTCCTCTGCTCCCCAATATCATCTACTGACTCCAAGAGACCTCCTCTGCTCCCCAATATCAACTGATCATCTACTGACTGACTCCAAGAGACCTCCTCTGCTCCCCAATATCATCTACTGACTCCAAGAGACCTCCTCTGCTCCCCAATATCATCTACTGACTCCAAGAGATCTCCTCTGCTCCCCAACATCACCTGACTCCAAGAGACCTCCTCTGCTCCCCAACATAATCTACCGACTCCAAGAGACCTCCTCTACTCCCCAACATAATCTACCGACTCCAAGAGATCTCCTCTGCTCCCCAATCATCATCCAAGAGACCTCCTGACTCCCCAAGAGACTCCTCCTCTGCTCCCCAACATCATCTACTGACTCCAAGAGACCTCCTCTGCTCCCCAACATCATCTACTGACTCCAAGAGACCTCCTCTGCTCCCCAACATCATCATACTGACTCCAAGAGACCTCCTCTGCTCCCCAACATCATCTACTGACTCCAAGAGACCCTCCTCTGCTCCCCAGTACCTACTGACTCAAAGTGACCTTCCCCTGCACCTCGGTATCATCTACTGACACCAAGTGACCTCCTCTGCACCCTGGTGTCATCTACTGACTCCAAGTGACCTCCTCTGCACCCCGGTGTCATCTACTGACTCCAAGTGACCTCCTCTGCACCCCAGTAACATCTACTGACTGCAAGTGACCTCCTCTGCACCCCAATATCATCTGACTACAAGTGACCCTCCTCTGCACTCCAAAATCATCTACTGACTCCAAGTGACCCTCCTCTACACCCCAATATAATCTACTGACTCCAAGTGACCTTCTGTGAACCCCCATTGTCATTTTCTGACTCCAAGTGCCCTCCTTTACGTCCCAGTGTCATCTGACTCAAAGTGACCTGTGAACCCCAAGTGTAATCTACTGACTCCAAGCGACCGTCACTCTGCACCCCAGTGTCATCGAGTGGATCCAAGGGACCTTCTGTGCACCCCAATGTCATCTAGTGCATGTCCTTTCTTGACCCCATGTGACCTCCCGTGCACTCCAGTGTCATCTTGTGACCCCAGTCATCTAAAGACCCCTAGTGCATCTCCATCACACCTCCATGCAGTCTCTGGCTTGCTCTGCAGTTGTCCAGTAACCCTCACGGTCCTGCAGTCTCCAGGCTGTCCTCCTCTCAGTGGACAGAGACCCCCGTATGTGGCACACAAACCCCTTCTTCCCTTCCCATGTAAAAATGCTGTTTTTAAGTACAGGGAAAACTATATTTTTTTACGTTTGGGACAGAAAGGTGAAGGGATAAGATGACCGGTCAAGTTTATTTTCGTGTCCCCGCTGGGGAGATTATCCCTCCCAACACATCCTGCAATTGGAAATCTACAATAGGAGTCTTATCAGCAGAACAGGAATAGAGGGAAATCCTCCAATGGGGACGAAACTGCAAAAGAAGAGATTTCCTTTCCTTTGGAGAGATTTCCTCTCACTTCCTGTTGTGTCTCTGGAACTATAAAGCGAAAAGCATCTCAGATGTAAAAAGAAAACAAAAAATGTAGACTTTAAAAGTATTCTGTAGTTTTAGCCGAAAATACCGAGCGAGTACCACTCACAACGCCTGCAACAGCAAACCCTCACTGGTCAGTACGTCACCAAGGGGGGGAAAGTGTCCGGACTGGAAGGGGGGGGGGGAAGGGGGGGGGGGGGGGGGGGGAAGTGTCCAGACTGGAAGGGGGGGGGGAGTGTCCAGACTGGAAGGGGGGGGGGAAGTGTCCAGACTGGAAGGGGGGGGGGGGGGAGTGTCCAGACTGGAACTGGAGGGGGGGGGGGGGGGGGGGGGGGAGTGTCCAGACTGGAAGGGGGGGGGGGGGGGGGGGGAGTGTCCAGACTGGAGGGGGGGGGGGGGAGTGTCCAGACTGGAAGGGGGGGGGGGGGGGGGGGGGGAGTGTCCAGACTGGAAGGGTGGGGGGGGGGGGGGGGGGAGTGTCCAGGGGGAGGGGGGGGGGGGGGGGAGTGTCCAGACTGGAAGGGGGGGGGGGGGAGTGTCCAGACTGGAAAGGGGGGGGGGGGAGTGTCCCCAGACTGGAAGGGGGGGGGGGGAGTGTCCAGACTGGAAGACTGGGGGGTGGGGGGGGGGAAGGGGGGGGAGTGTCCAGACTGGAAGAGGGGGGGGGGGGGACGTGTCCAGACTGGAAGGGGGGGGGGAGTGTCCAGACTGGAAGGGGGGGGGGGGGGGGGGGAGTGTGTCCAGACTGGGGGGGGGGGGGGGGGAGTGTCCAGACTGGAAGGGGGGGGGGGAGTGTCCAGACTGGAAGGAGTGGGGGGTGGGGGGAGTGTCCAGACTGGAATGGGGGGGGGGGGGGGGGGAGTGTCCAGACTGGAAGGGGGGGGGGGGGGGGGGGAGTGTCCAGACTGGAAGGGGGGGGGGGGGGGGGGGGAGTGTCCAGACTGGAAGGGGGGGGGGGGAGGGGGGGGGGGATGGGGAGTGTCCGGACTGGAAGGGGGGAAGTGTCCGGAATGGAAGGGGGGGGAGGGGGGAAGTGTCCGGACTGGAAAGGGGGGGATGGGGAGTGTCCGGACTGGAAAGGGGGGGGATGGGGAAGTGTCCGGACTGGAAAGGGGGGGGGGGGGGGGGGATGGGGAAGTGTCCGGACTGGAAAGGGGGGGGATGGGGAGTGTCCGGACTGGAAAGGGGGGGGGATGGGGAGTGTCCGGACTGGAAAGGGGGGAAGGGGGGTGGGATCCGGGGGAAGTGTCCGGACTGGAAAGGGGGGGGGGGGGTGGGGAGTGTCCGGACTGGAAAGGGGGGGGGGGGGGGTGGGGAGTGTCCGGACTGGAAGGGGGGGGGGGGGGGGGGAAGAGTCCGGACTGGAAGGGGGGGGGGGGGGGATGGGAGTGTCCGGACTGGAAAGGGGGGGGGGGGTGAAGTGTCCGGGCTGAAAGGGAAGGGGGGTCCGGGGGGGAAGCGGGGGGGTAAGGGGGGGAGAGGGGGGGAAGCGTCCGGGCCTGGAAGGGAAGGCGGGGGGGGGGAGAGGGGGGGAAAGCGTCCGGGCCGGAAGGGAAGGGGGGGGGGGGGGGAAGCGTCCGGGCCGGAAGGGAAGGGGGGGGGGAAAGCGTCCGGGCCGGAAGGGAAGGGGGGGGGGGGGGGGGGGGGAAGGGAAGGGGGGGGGGGAAAAGCGTCCGGGCCGGAAGGGAAGGGGGGGGGGGGAAAGGGGCCGGAAGGGAAGCGTCCGGGTCCGGACCGGAAGGGAAGGGGGGGGGGGGGAAAGCGTCCGGAAGGGAAGGGGGGGGGGGCGTCCGGGACCGGAAGGGGGGGGGGGGGGAAAAGCGTCCGGCCGGAAGGGAAGGGGGGGGGGGGGGGAAGCGTCCGGGCCGGAAGGGAAGGGGGGGGGGAAAGGGGGGGGGGGGAAAGCGTCCGGGCCGGAAGGGAACCGGGGGGGGGGGGAAAGCGTCCGGACCGGAAAGGGGAAAGCGTCCGGCCGGGGGGGGGGGGAAAGCGTCCGGACCGGAAGGGAAGGGGGGGGGGGGGGAAAGCGTCCGGACCGGAAGGGGGAGGGGAAAGCGTCCGGACCGGGGGGGGGGGGAAAGCGTCCGGACCGGAAAGGGGGAGGGGAAAGGGGGGGGAAAGCGTCCGGACCGGAAGGGGGAGGGGGGGGGAAGGGGGAGGGGGAAAGCGTCCCGGACCGGAAGGGGGAGGGGGAAAGCGTCCGGACGGAAGGGGGAGGGGGAAGCGTCCGGACCGGGAGGGGGGAGGGGGGAAAGCGTCCGGACCGGAAGGGGGGGGGAGGGGAAAGCGTCCGTCGGAAGGGGGAGGGGAAACCGGAAGGGGGGAGGGGGAAAGCGTCCGGACCGGAAGGGGGAGGGGGGGGGAAAGCGTCCGGACCGGAAGGGGGGAGGGGAAAGCGTCCGGACCGGAAGGGGGAGGGGGAAAGCGTCCGGACCGGAAGGGGGGGGGGAAAGCGTCCGGACCGGAAAGGGGGAGGGGAAAGCGTCCGGACCGGTAAAGGGGGAGGGGGAAAGCGTCCGGACCGGAAGGGGGGGGGAGGGGAAAGCGTCGGACGGAGCGTCCGGACCGGAAGGGGGAGGGGAAAGCGTCCGGACCGGAAGGGGGAGGGGAAAGCGTCCGGACCGGAAGGGGGTAAATAAATCTAATTTTTGTTCTTTTTACATCTGGGATGCTTTCTCTTTACTGTTCCAGAGACACAACAGGAAGTGAGAGGATATCTGAGGTTTCTGCGTCCGGTAAGGTGTCCCAGAACAAGTGCTTCTCATTAGTCAGCGTGGTCACATGATTGCACGGACCAATGAGCACTTGCCATTGCAGGCATTATGATGGCCACTCACTCCAGGACTTTGTATTGCGGTGTACAGACCACTGCATTGGCAGCACAGGGCATCAGGGCCGCGGGGTCTGGAGATGTGGCCGGGATATTTGGAGTAAGCTCACCTTTTACATTTTTTTAAGCAGAGATGGCCAATCTGGCGGCTCCGGCACTCACCCTGTAAACATGTACACTTCCTGGGCGAACCTCTGCAGCAGGCTGGCCTTGGTGGAGTTGGAGAGGATGAGGACCACGTTCATGTGACCCGGACGCAGCTTGACCAGGTTACTCGTATAATTCACATCCGTCAGCTCCGTCACCTCCACGAAACCTTTCCTAGGAACCCTAGGACAGAAAAGAGGAAATACAGGTTTTCTGGTGCTCGCTGAACCTCGCTCATACAAGCCTTCACGCCTTTCTAGCATAAAGGAGAATCTGCTGAATGCAGCCATCATGTGCGGGGAAAAAAAAATCAGGTTCAAATTTTAGAGAGTACAGGAACAGTAAGAAAAAACAATGATTTGCTCCCCTGAAGATTTTGTAAATTTGCCCACTTACACAGAAATGAAGGGTCTATGATTTTTATCATCGGTGTATTTTAAAGGATAGAGACAGAATATCAACCAAAAACCCAGAAAACAACTCGATACAAATGTTAGAAATGGAGTCGCAGTTCAGGGAGAAGAATAAGTATTTGATCCCAAAGCAAAACCTGACTTAGTAGTTGGTGGAGGAACCCTTGTTGGTGAGCACAGAGGTGAGAAGTTCCTTGTAGTTGGTGGAGGAACCCTTGTTGGCGAGCACAGAGGATGAGAAGTTCCTTGTAGTTGGTGGAGGAACCCTTGTTGGTGAGCACAGAGGTGAGACGTTCCTTGTAGTTGGTGGAGGAACCCTTGTTGGTGAGCACAGAGGTGAGAATGTTCCTTGTAGTTGGTGGAGGAACCCTTGTTGGTGAGCACAGAGGTGAGATGTTCCTTGTAGTTGGTGGAGGAACCCTTGTTGGCGAGCACAGAGGTGAGATGTTTCCTGTAGTTGGTGGAGGAACCCTTGTTGGTGAGCACACAGAGGTGAGATGTTCCTTGTAGTTGGTGGAGGAACCCTTGTTGGTGAGCACAGAGGTGAGACGTTCCTTGTAGTTGGTGGAGGAACCCTTGTTGGTAAGCACAGAGGTGAGACGTTCCTTGTAGCTGGTGGAGGAACCCGTGTTGGCGAGCACAGAGGTGAGAAGCTCCTTGTAGTGGGGGGTGGAGGAACCCTTGTTGGCGAGCACAGAGGTGAGAAGTTCCTTTTAATTGGTGGAGGAACCCTTGTTGGTGAGCACAGAGGTGAGATGTTCCTTTGTAGTTGGTGGAGGAACCTTTGTTGGTGAGCACAGAGGTGAGATGTTCCTTGTAGTTGGTGGAGGAACCCTTGTTGGTGAGCACAGAGGTGAGATGTTCCTTGTAGTTGGTGGAGGAACCCTTGTTGGTGAGCACAGAGGTGAGATGTTCCTTGTAGTTGGTGGAGGAACCCTTGTTGGCGAGCACAGAGGTGAGATGTTCCTTGTAGTTGGTGGAGGAACCCTTGTTGGTGAGCACAGAGGTGAGATGTTCCTTGTAGTTGGTGGAGGAACCCTTGTTGGTGAGCACAGAGGTGAGACGTTCCTTGTAGTTGGTGGAGGAACCCTTGTTGGTAAGCACAGAGGTGAGACGTTCCTTGTAGTTGGTGGAGGAACCCTGATTGGCGAGCACAGAGGTGAGAAGTTCCTTGTAGTTGGTGGAGGAACCCTTGTTGGTAAGCACAGAGGTGAGACGCTCCTTGTAGTTGGTGGAGGAACCCTTGTTGGCGAGCACAGAGGTGAGAAGTTCCTTTTAATTGGTGGAGGAACCCTTGTTGGCGAGCACAGAGGTGAGATGTTCCTTGTAGTTGGTGGAGGAACCCTTGTTGGTGAGCACAGAGGTGAGATGTTCCTTGTAGTTGGTGGAGGAACCCTTGTTGGTGAGCACAGAGGTGAGATGTTCCTTGTAGTTGGTGGAGGAACCCTTGTTGGTGAGCACAGAGGTGAGATGTTCCTTGTAGTTGGTGGAGGAACCCTTGTTGGCGAGCACAGAGGTGAGATGTTCCTTGTAGTTGGTGGAGGAACCCTTGTTGGTAAGCACAGAGGTGAGAAGTTCCTTGTAGTTGGTGGAGGAACCTTGTTGGTAAGCACAGAGGTGAGACGTTCCTTGTAGTTGGTGGAGGAACCCTGATTGGCAAGCACAGAGGTGAGAAGTTCCTTGTAGTTGGTTCCCAGGTTTGCTCACATCTCAGGAGGGATTTTGATCCATTCTTTACAGATCTTCTCCAAATCCTTAAGGTTCTTTGGCTGTCATTTGGCAACTCGAAGTTTCAGCTCCCTCCACAAATTTTCTATAGGATGGAGGTCTGGAGACTGGCTAGGCCACTCCATGACCTTAATGTGCTTCTTCTTGAGCCCTCCTTTGTTGCCCTGGCAGGAATAATTATTTTCCCCACTGTAAAGGCAGCAGTCACAGGAGACGAGGCACTTTATATCAATTTAAATGCTGCAGTAAAAGCACAAACAAATGATAGCGAGCCCCATATCTACAGGTGAGAGGCGGCATTACCTGCTGCTCTCCTTGCTGTGACTATGAGCCCCCATTTGCAGGTGAGAGGCAGCATTACCTGCTGCTCTCTTTGCTGTGACTACGAGCCCCATTTGTAGGTGAGAGGCGGCATTACCTGCTGCTCTCCTTGCTGTGACTACGAGCCCCCTTTGTAGGTGAGAGGCGGCATTACCTGCTACTCTCTTTGCTGTGACTACGAGCCCCCTTTGCAGGTGAGAGGCGGCATTACCTGCTGCTCTCTTTGCTGTGACTATGAGCCCCCTTTGCAGGTGAGAGGCAGCATTACATGGTGCTCTCTGTGATGTGACTATGAACCCCCTTTGCAGGTGAGAGGCGGCATTACATGGTGCTCTCTGTGATGTGACTATGAGCCCCCTTTGCAGGTGAGAGTCGGCATTACCTGCTGCTCTCTTTGCTGTAACTATGAGCCCCCTTGCAGGTGAGAGGCGGCATTACCTGCTGCTCTCCTTGCTGTGACTATGAGCCCCTTTACAGGTGAGAGGCGGCATTACCTGCTGCTCTCCTTGCTGTGACTATGAGCCCCCTTTGTAGGTGAGAGGCGGCATTACCTGCTGCTCTCTTTGCTGTGACTATGAGCCCCCTTTGCAGGTGAGAGGCGGCATTACCTGCTGCTCTCCTTGCTGTGACTATGAGCCCCCTTTGTAGGTGAGAGGCGGCATTACATGGTGCTCTCTGTGATGTGACTATGAGCCCCCTTTGCAGGTGAGAGTCGGCATTACCTGCTCCTCTCTTTGCTGTGACTATGAGCCCCCTTGCAGGTGAGAGGTGGCATTACCTGCTGCTCTCCTTGCTGTGACTATGAGCCCCTTTGCAGGTGAGAGGCGGCATTACCTGCTGCTCTCCTTGCTGTGACTACGAGCCCCCTTTGCAGGTGAAAGGCAGCATTACCTGCTACTCTCTTTTGCTGTGACTATGAGACCCCTTTGCAGGTGAAAGGCGGCATTACCTGCTGCTCTCTTTGCTGTGACTATGAGCCCCCTTTGCAGGTGAGAGGCGGCATTACCTGGTGCGCTCTGTGCTGTAACTATGAGCCCCCTTTGCAGATGAGAGGCGGCATTACCTGCTGCTCTCCTTGCTGTGACTATGAACCCCCTTTGCAGGTGAGAGGCAGCATTACCTGCTGCTCTCCTTGCTGTGACTATGAACCCCCTTTGCAGGTGAGAGGCGGCATTACCTGCTGCTCTCCTTGCTGTAATTAGCCTCTGAGTTTCTTTCCTTATCGCCCGACTCTTCTTTGTCAGAAGGAACGGAATCTCGCTCATCATTGGAGTCACTACAAGGGAAATAAGAAATGTTAGAATCAAAAGGTTCTTCACACAGAAAACTAAAGGAAGCCTCGATTTCAACTTTAACGACTTGTGGACCGCCCGCCCTCAATGTACTGCGAACGGGAGGCAAGGCAAAGTGATGTACTGGCACGTTTCCGATGTACTTGCACATGCACGACCCCCCCCACCCGCTGTGATTGTACACAGTGGGAGTCTGTCAGCAAGTCCCGGCCAATGATTCATAGTCAGGACCTGCTGTACAGAGGGAACAATCTGTTTCTTCTCCCTGCAAAGCAGGGATGAGAAACAAAGATCTATTAGTAAAAGGAGAACACAGTACACATTGTTAGGCACATATTTAACCTCCTGACCGCCCTAGATGTCAACCCCTTCCCAGCCGGTGTCATTAGTACAGTGACGGTGTAGAATGTTAGCACCAATTACGGTACTAGTGTCACTGGTTATGTCAGCGGTAGTTAGTGCCTCGCCAGTTAGTGTCAGATTGCACACCGCTCTATTGTGGTATATATATATATTATATATATATATACATTACATATATACACACACATATATACATATATACATATATATATATATATATATATATTTATTAAACATACATACATATACACATATTTGAATGCACCAATATTTTAGCTTTAGCATACCCCCATCCAGATAACTTCCCATCAGAGGGATAATAATGAGGTATATACATACCTGAACGCCTGAACGATGACTGTACCAAACAGGATGAAGAGGGCAGAGAAAATCAACGATAAAAGTGGCATCATCTCCCTCCTGTAGAGACCAAGCCGGGGGAGGGGGTATGGGGAGGGGAGGCAGTATGGGGAGGGGAGGCGGTATGAGGAGGGGGGGGGAGGAGTATGGGGAGGGGTATGGGGAGGGAGGCGGTATGGAGAGGGGAGGGGGGGGTATGGAGGGGAGTATGGAGAGGGGAGGGGGTATGTGGGGGGGGGGGGTTTGGGGGGGAGAGGCGGTATGGGGAGGTGAGGGGGTATGGGGTATGGGGAGGAGAGGCGGTATGGAGAGGGGAGGGGGTATGGAGGGGAGTATGGGAGAGGGGTATGGGGTATGGGGGGTTTGGGGGGGGGGGTATTTGGGGAGGAGAGGCGGGGATGGAGAGGGGAGGCGGTATGGAGGGGTGTATGGAGAGGGGGGGAGGGGGGGGTTTGGGGAGGAGGCGGACGGGGAGGTGAGGGGGTATGGGGAGGTGAGGAGAGTTGGTATGGGGAGAGGAGGGGGTATGGGGAGGGGGTAGGCAAGGAACGAAAGAGGAAAATTGTCACACCAATCAATGAGTTACATTTGTATTGTACAATGAAATTATAATCTCACACCAGAACTCTTTGCCGAGAACAAAACTAAATTCCAGGTTTTAAGGTCAAGGCTGACCTCCGGGCAAACAACTGAATACACAGAACAAATACATACCTAGGCGTGGTTTTACCTGAGTTCCTGTCCATGCAGTCACGAGATATACACAGCTCTGTCACACAGCACAGCCCTGTCCACTAAGGCGGGAGACCGGATTTCTCTCTGCTGAATTTCAGTAAAACTTACAGGTCTTGTCCCCCCCCCCCAGCCTGTGATTGGACAAGCAGCAGCATCTCTGTCACTCTGCTTTCTCTTCCCATCAGCATGTTTCCTGATAACCTGATTGGCTTTTTGTGCTGCTTCTCCCCTCCCCAGTCTGATAAATCACAATGAGGTTTTTAAAACGGCTTTCATGTAAAATGGGACTTAAAAAAGAAGTTGTGACCCTTCCTATTACCAAATCCATGTGTGTCAGCGGCTACAGGCAAGCTTGAATGGACGGTGATCTCTGAACAAAGAAAAAAAAAAAAAAAAAAGACTTGCCCTTAAAAGGTATCTCCAGCTGCATACCGGCAGGTCACGTGATTCCTCTCGTGCTGCGCAGACCTGCCGGTTTACGCCGGTCCCGGAAGTGACATTGCCACTGAGTTCCTTCCATTCCATGACAATCAGACCCGGCAGCAAACGTCACTTCCTCCTTTTCCCATCTGAGAGCGGAGATAGGCGGAGGGCGGCTCTGCGCCGACTACAGAAGAGACGCCTGTATCTTTAGCGGGATGGCGCAAGATGTATACTGACCACAGTAGCGTGGATCGCCAGCCATACCAGTGTGGTCAGTTTACTTGTAGGAGGAGCAGCACAGCCAGGATCAACCAGGTACATTAAAGCCAGGCAGCCAGATATGTAATACAGACATGAGAAATCAGATGTAAAGTACTTTGAAAAGGTAAAGTTCCAATTTTTTTTTTCTTTTCAAACACTTTAATGATGAATTCAGGAAACCAGAGCTGTGTAAAATGTTTATTTTAGACCTGCCCGGGGTTCCCCTTTAAATGAAATGAGGACATGGAAACACAGGATCCTATATTTGTCTCTTTGTCACCCCACCCTGAAGGGTTTTTGAAGCACACCCCCACATTCTTAAAGTAGAACTTCAGGAAAAAACTTTTTCCCCCCCATTTTGGAATGGTGTAAGGGAGGGATATAACCTCTGTCAGGTTTTTATGCCATCTGTGTCCCGTTGAGGAGATTTCCCTTCTCTTCCCATAGATAAAACAGGAAGTGAGAGGAAATCCCTAAAAATGAATAAAGGGAATAATGTGGGGACCCTCAGATCACCAGAAACCCTCAGTTCCCCATCGGAAGATTCCCCCTCTATCACTTTTCTGGGGACAACACAACATTTGGGATTTTCTTTCACTTTCAATGATAACGGTAAATAGGACAAATAGAGAGGATGGCAAATGATAAATAGGACTTCTACTATACCACTGATGTCCAGAGAGAGAGACAAAACGGGGGCCGACAGAGGTACACGGACGAGGGGCCGACAGAGGTACACGGACGAGGGGCCGACAGAGGTATACGGACGAGGGGGGCCGACAGAGGTACACGGACGAGGGGCCGACAGAGGTACACGGACGAGGGGCCGACAGAGGTACACGGACGAGGGGCCGACAGAGGTACACGGACGAGGGGCCGACAGAGGTACACAGACGAGGGGCCGACAGAGGTACACAGACGACGGGGGCCAACAGAGGTACACAGACGAGGGGCCGACAGAGGTACACAGACGAGGGGCCGACAGAGGTACACAGACGAGGGGCCAACAGAGGTACACAGACGAGGGGCCAACAGAGGTACACAGACGAGGGGCCGACAGAGGTATACAGACGAGGGGCCAAAGAGGTACACAGACGAGGGGCCAACAGAGGTACACAGACGAGGGGCCAACAGAGGTACACAGACGAGGGGGCCAACAGAGGTACACAGACGAGGGGCCAACAGAGGTACACAGACGAGGGGCCAACAGAGGTACACAGACGAGGGGCCAACAGAGGTACACAGACGAGGGGCCAACAGAGGTATATAGACAAGGGGCCAACAGAGGTATATAGACGAGGGGCCAACAGAGGTATATAGACGAGGGGCCAACAGAGGTATATAGACGAGGGGCCAACAGAGGTATATAGACGAGGGGCTAATAGAGCTATAGAGACGAGGGGCCAATATAGGTATAGAGACAAGGGGCCAAAAGAGGTATAGAGTCAAGGGGCCAATAGAGGTATATATAGATAAGGGGCCAATAGAGGTATATAGACAAGGGGGCCAATAGGAGGGGTAGGTATATAGATAAGGGGCCAATAGACAACGGGGCCAATAGAGGTATATAGACAAGGGGCCAATAGGAGGTATATAGACAAGGGGCAAATAGGAGGGTGTATATAGACAAGGGGCCAATAGGAGGTTATATATAGACAAGGGGCCAATAGGAGGTATATAGACAAGGGGCCAATAGGAGGTATATAGACAAGGGGCCAATAGGAGGTATATAGACAAGGGGCCAATAGGAGGTATATATAGACAAGGGCGTTTTTATTACATGCAAAAGTTAAAAACCATTGTGTATGTAGAATTTATATATTATATTATATATATATATATAGATATATATAGATAGACATAGACGGTCGCTCCTGGGTAGTATTTTGTGTGTTCTATGGAGCAGGTCTACTCATTTTGCGGGTTCTACCGCTTCTTCAGGACCAATACAAGCTGTTCATGGGATGAAAAGTTGTACACTCTATGAAGAGAAAAATATACACACAATTAAGCAAAATCCATAATGTATAAAATCGGTGAAGTGTAGGATAAGCCATATGCATATTTTTTTATATATATATATTGTTTTTTTTTTTAAACTTTAGTGTGAAAGAAAAAGAAAAATTCATTCTCCCATTTGTCTATCTGTGGACACAAGCGGTATATTACAGGTCCCATTTATCATTTCTTTAAAATTGCCAAACCAAGCGAGAGGCACACTTACCCCTTTGATTGTTCCTATATAATTGAAATAAAAATGGTGAATCTCCCTAACGGGCGGGTACAGACAGTAATAAAATCTGACGGGATCCAATCCCTCTCTACGCCATACAAAACTAAGAAGAAAAAAAAATTTTTCTTTAGTTATACCGTAAAAAGTATAAAACATCCTAGACTGACAAACTGATGACTGGAAACCAGAGGAGAAAAAAAAAAAAAAAAAAGCACCCCACTAATTAGGGCTGAAGATACAGTCTGCAACAAGGGAGGGAGAAATGCCACCGGAAATGCAGAAATAGCATCCCTGTACTGGCCTTCCCCAATCACTGCACAGGATGTGGGCCCAGACTGGGGACAAGGATGGACACACAAAAGCCCTCTACCCCCCCCCCCACCCTCCCCATCAAGGAAGGTGAGGAAAAGAGAGGAGGGTGGGTGGCGGACAACAGACATGAATCCCCCGACCTGAGCCTCCTATCACCAGGGATCTAAGCCGCCATGCTTCTCCTCGGGACGGAGGAAACACGGACCAAGTCGGCAGAAGGAGACTCTCTTGTTGGAAGAAGTACCTGTCATGTGATGTTCTGGAAGCGGATTGGTAGAACTTACCAGTTATTGTGGAGAACGCTCTCCCAGGCATCGGACCAATAGTCAAACGCAGTGTACATCCAGCGCAAGACAAACATCTGCAGACGGAAAAAAAAAAAAAAAAGACGAAATTCTTTTAAAAAATGCTGATTGAATTCAGAATAAATAGGAATTCTGACTACCAAAAATCACTATTTGCTGCGCAATTTATTGCGGTTGTTACATAGTTAGTCTGGCTGAAAAAAGACAAAAGTCCATCCAGTTCAACCATAGAAAAAAAAAAAAAAAAAAAAAGTTATAATCCTCCACCCACAGTTGATCCAGAGGAAGGCAAAAAAACCCAGCAAAGCGCAATCCAATCTCCTCCTGCAGGGGAAAAAATTCCTTCCTGATCCTCGAGAGGCAAAATATTCCCCAGTTGTGAAGGATCAATGTTTATTACCTTCGAGCATTCTATGCGTGTGAAGGTAAAAAAAAACCCTTCAGTGTGCAGCATCCCACCCCCAGCCCCCTCAATACTTACCTGAGCCTCATCGCGATCCAGCGATGTGAACGAGAGAGCATCGGCTGTCCCGGGTCTCTGCCTCCTCATTGGCTGAGACAGCAAGCAAGAGCCGTTGCTGTCAATCACAGCCAGTAAGCCAATGAGGCAAGAGAGGGGTGGGGCCAAGACGCGGCTCCGTGTGTGAATGAACACATAGAGCAGCGGGTGCCCCATAGCAAGCTGCTTGCTGTGGGGGCACCCAACAGGAGGGAGGGGCCAGGAGAGCCTGTGGGGGACCCGAGAAGAGGAGGATCCGGGCTGCTCTGTGCAAAACCACTGCATACAGGAGGTAAGTATAGACATAGTTAGTCTGGCTGAAAAAAGACAAAAAAGTCCATCCAGTTCAACCATTTAAAAAAAAATCCGGCCTTTGTTATAATACCGACACCCACAGTTGATCCAGAGGAAGTGCAAAAAAAAAGGCCTCCCAGCAAAGCACGATCTGCAATTTGATCCTCCTGGGCAGGTGGCAGCACCGCAATTGGTGCCTGGCATATTGTGTCCCTATTTTCCCAAAAACAAAAAAATCGTTAAAGAACGAAACGGAACCTATAGAATTGCTTCAACCTCCCTTGCGGTCCCTGATGAACAATCAGTATTTCATGCTCCCCAAGTAAGCGGATGTCTTTTTTTTTAAAATCCATTTTTTACTATGTGACATGAAATTGTTTAGGATCACAGAGGGGTCACTGAAATCGTTGGCTGAACACAGAGTCTTAATCAAAACAGCCGGGTACCATAACAAGCTGTGACCAACACAAATCATAAATTATCAATGGCTTTAGGAATAATCAGAGAAAAATAATAATATAATGATGTTAATTTAAGGGTTCAATAATATAATAAAAAAAAAAAACACTAAAATGTGAAATAGCAAAGCGCACAAGTAGTTGGTGTCACCATCGGTGACTGTACTGCGCAGAACGTTTTATGTCTAAAAAAAAAATTTTCAAATAAAAAAAAATCAATTATCAATCAATTCTGCAAATATGGCAGCAGGGAAAAAAATTTACTATCGCTGTTTCTGGTTTTACCGCGTCTGACTAAATTTGGGTTATAGTTTGCTTTTCCACTATAAAGGGATAAGCCATTCTTTGGTAAAAAATTTTGGCGCCGTTGAAAAGCACTGAGGTGATGACAAAATGTATGTGACTAAATTTTTGGAAAAAAGGTAAATTTTTTCAATATTATGTGGATTTTTTCATTTACATGCATAATAAAAATAATAAATGTCCCTTTTTAAACCAATATAATAACAAACCAGTTTTTCCCGTCCCAGCACCCCCAGTACGTCCCGAGAAAGGGGAAGAAACCCGGCAAAGCGCAGATGCCGGTTTGCTGGGCAGGGACATTTAAAAATTTCACTGCTAAAAGGGGTTCTTGGATTTTATCGTTTTTGAGCGCAAAACAACGGAACCTCGACCGGGATCCTGGAGCAACGCTGCAGGGACCCATGACGATTTTCAGTTTCCTTCCTGGGGGGGGGGGAGGCAAGGGGGGGGGGGGGGTTTGTCACTTGTGGTGCTGAAATCTTTATACCCCCCTCTTACACTCGGGTACTTACTCGAGCAGGGGAAATCCTGTATAAGTCTCACTTCTTTGACAGATTTTCCCCCCTCCTCGTTCTCCTGTATACCCGACAGCAAAATGCAACTCACGTAAAACCCAGCTCGTTCTCCCGTCTTACACCCCCTCTATTTCCGTCAGGTTAATGCAGAAGCTCTCGGATCCTTTATGTAGCCACCCCTCTCTCGTTCTCCGTAAAATATCGCCCCCCACTCGGTTTCCCGTGTATACCCCCCCTCTCATTCTCCCGTATATCCCATCTCGTTCTCCCGCATATACCCTACCTCTCGTTCTCCCGTAGTACCCCCTCTCGATTTTCTCCCTGTATACCCCCCCTGTAACTCAGTTCTCCTAAAATGTGTAAAAGCTCTGATCTCTCCCGTATATACCCCCCTCTCATTCCCGAAATCCTGTATACCCCGCTCTCATTATTCCCGTATATTTCTAACGTGTATACCCCCTCTCTCATTCTCCCGTATATCCGCTCTCATTCTCACGTATATCCCTCTCATTCTCCGTAATACCCCTCCCGTTAATACCCGCCTTCATTCTCCCGTATACCCCCCCCCCCCCTCTCATTCTCCCGTATACCCCCCTCTCGTTCTCCCGTATATCGTTATCACCCCCTCTATAATTCCCTAACCCCCCTTTGTTCTCCCGTATAACCCCCCGGTTTTCGTTCTCCCGTATTCCCCCCCTCTCGTTCTCCCGCCCCCGAATAGAAATTTCCCCCCCTCTCGTTCTCCCGTACATAGTCCCCCCCTCTCGTCTCCCGTATACCCCCCCCTCTTCTCGTTCTCCCGTTATTACCCCCCCCCCTCTAACTCTCCCGTATACCCCCCTCTCGTTCTCCCGTATTACCCCCTCTCGTTCTCCCGTATATCCCTCTCGTTCTCCCGTATACCCCCTCTCGTTCTCCCGTATACCCCCCTCTCCGTAATACCCCTCTCTCCCGTATACCCCCCCTCTCACTCTCCCGTATACCCCCCTCTCGTTCTCCCGTATTACCCCGCTCTCTCTCTCCCGTATACCCCTCTCCCTCTCACTCTCCCGTATACCCCCCTTCTCACTCTCCCGTATACCCCCCCCTCTCACTCTCCCGTATACCCCCCCTCTCACTCTCCCGTATACCCCCCCTCTCACTCTCCTGTATACCCCTCTCTCACTCTCCCGTATACCCCTCTCTCTCATTCTCCTACCCCGTCCCCCCCCAATCACATGTCCTACATGCCCCTCTCATGTATCCCCCCCCCCATATACCCACCGGGGCCAGCTCATCGTTCAGATCAGACAAGTTGGTCTCGGAGGACAGGACACTCGGGTCTTTCCTTAGTCGGTCCAGGAAGTCGAGGAGAGAGAACTTGTTGTCCTCGCTGCCGCTCCAGATGTGAGCCAGAGTCTTATAAACGATTCTTCCGGCCGAATTCCTCCGCTCCAGTATGGAAACCTGCCGGGAGAACAGACAGTCCCGTCACAGAGAATCGGGATATAGAACCCGGCCTCACGTGATGGAAGAATCGTGGTTGAGCGCTGTGACAGGAGTCACTCTGGGTGGGGGGGCCCATGGAACACAGCTCACTTTGGAGGAGTGGAAAGACCCCTGTCTGAGCTCCCCATATTCCTCTTATTTGTAAGTCACCCTGTGCCTGTTAGGGGTACAGGGTGATCTGTCCTAATATTGGGGTGGGAGGTTGTTGATTGTTTAATACCATGTGGTTGCATCCCATTGTTCTATTATGTGTCTTGCTTGGGAGCAAAATATTATGGGATGTATGTGTTTGTGTATTGGCCTGGTGGTGGTGGTGGTGGGGGGGGGGGGGGGATGGTGTCTCCAGCAGCCCTCCCTCTTGATGGGACTGTCTGCTGCTGGTGTGTCTCTTGTTACTAAAGGTAGATTGCCCCGCCCTGTGTCAGTATGTCATTGCGTGTCTTGCTTGGGAGCAAACTATTATGGGATGTATGTGTTTATGTGTATTGGCTTGGTGGGAAGGGGGGGGGGGTGTCTCCTGCAGCCCTCCCTACTGATGGGACTGTCTGCTGGTGTGTCTCTTGTTACTAAAGGTAGATTGCCCCCGCCTGTGTCATTATGTCTTGCTTGGAGCAAACTATTATGGGATGTATGTGTTTGTGTATTGGCTTGGTGAGGGGGGGGGGGTCTCCAGCAGCCCTCCCTACTGATGGGACTGTCTGCTGCTGGTGTGTCTCTTGTTACTAAAGGTAGATTGCCCTGCCCTGTGTCATTATGTCATTGTGTGTCTTGCTTGGGAGCAAACTATTATGGGATGTATGTGTTTGTGTATTGGCTTGGTGGGGGGAGGGGTGTCTCCAGCAGCCCTCCCTCCTGATGGGACTGTCTGCTGGTGTGTCTCTTGTTACTAAAGGTAGATTGCCCCGCCCTGTGTCATTATGCAGGGAGGGGGGGGTTGTTCCCTTGAATGTATATATCTTGTATCTGTGTTTAAACAAAGCAGTCTATTTCCTGGTTTACTTCAAGACCGGAGTCGTCTAGTCTTGTATGGTCAGCGGTGGTGTCTGTGGTCGGTGTTCGGACAGGAAAGCAGTATTCTAATGGAAGTACCCAAGTGCAGTCTGGGGTCGGTTCCGTTACATTACATGGCATTAAACAACCCCCCACCCAATATTAGGACAGATCACCCTGTACCCCTAACAGGCACAGGGTGACTGACACATAAGAGGGATATGGGGAGCTGAGACAGGGGTCTCCCCACCTCTCCAAAGTGAGCTGAGTTCCATGGGCCCCCCACCCAAAGTGAGCTGTGTTCCATGGGCCCCCCCACCCAGAGTGACTCCCGTCACAAGCGCGAATAATACAAACGTCTTTGCGTTCTACATACCGAGGAGTGCGCGGAGTGAACGTCCTCACCCAGCACCGAGCTGGCCAGCTCCCTCTGCCGGTCTTTGTACACATGGACGAATCTGACCGTGTCTTTGGTGTTGGCGGAAGCGAAGGCCAGGAAGGACTCGTAGGTTTTCTGGAACGGCTCACCCTCCCCAGTCAGCAGAACAACACAGAACCTTCAGAACATGACGAAAAAGTTGCATCAATAGAAGGCAAGACCATACACTATCCCCAAACGGTTACTATAGATCGGGGGTTGTCAAAGGATTGGGTATAGGGAGCCTCAACTGCACTCAACCCCCCCCCAAAAAAAAAAAAAAAAAAAAAAAAAAAAAAAAAAACCCCCCCCCCCCCCCCAAACAAAAAAAAAAAAAAAAAAAAAAAAAAAAAAACAAAAAAAAACCCCCCCCCCCCCCCCCCCAAAACAACAAAACAAAACAAAACAAACAAACAAAAAAAAAAAAAACCACAGGAGAGGAAATCGTCACTTCTGCAGCATTTTCACTTCTATAGGTTAATTTTTTTTTCTTTGGAAAACAACAAATATGTCCAGGAAGGAATTTTTTTTCCCCGCAGAAGCAGATTGGATCGCTTTGCTGGGTTTTTTTTGCCCTCCTCTGGATCAGCTGTGGGTGTAGGGGACGATACTCACTTGCGTTGCCGGTGAGACTTGCGCACGGGACACAGCTCCTGGAACAGCTTCTGATTGGTCAGCCGGGCCGCCAGGAGGAACTTGTTTGTAGAGATGAAGTCGTCAATGACCTGTTTTTTCATTCCTCGAGCCTGAAAGAAAAGAGAAGCATGGTCCCATTATAAACAGCAACCCGCATCCTGGCTGAACATATAGAGCTACACTCACCAGACACTTTATGAGGTCCACCTGATCAATGGCTTATCAGCCAATCACATGGCAGCAGCTCGATGCATTGAGGCATTTACACATAGTGAGCACGACTTGGAGTTCAAACTGATCATCAGAATGGGGAAGAAAGGGGATTTAAGTGACTTTGGACGTGGCATGGTTGTTGGTGCCAGAAGGGCTGGTCTGAGAGTTTCAAAAACTGATCTGCTGGGATTTTCCCGCACAACCATCTCTAGGGGTTACAGAGAATGGTCCGAAAAAGAGAAAACCTTCAGTGAGTAGGCGTTGTGTGGAGGAAATCGCCTTGCAGAGGTCAGAGGAGAATGGGCAGACTGAGTTACTGTTGACTTTTTCTATCATCATCAAATAACCACCAATTACACCCAAGGTATGCAGAGAACCATCTCTGAACACACAACACGTCTAACCTTGAAGCAGATGGGCTACAGCAGCAGAAGACCACACCGGGGGCCACTCCTGTCAGCTAAGAACAGGAAACGGAGGCTACAATTCGCACAGGATCACGAAATTGGACAATGGAAGATTGGAAAGACATTGCCTGGTCTGGTGGGGGATCTATCCTGCCTTGTATCCATGGTTCAGGCTGGTGGTGGTGTCATGGTGTGGGGGATCCATGTATACCTCCACTGACTGTATATACAGAGAGACCCCCCCTGTATACCTCCACTGACTGTATATACAGAGACCCCCCCCCTGTATACCTCCACTGACTGTATATACAGAGAGACCCCCCCTGTATACCTCCACTGACTGTATATACAGAGACCCCCCCCTGTATACCTCCACTGACTGTATATACAGAGACCCCCCTGTATACCTCCACTGACTGTATATACAGAGACCCCCCCTGTATACCTCCACTGACTGTATATACAGAGACCCCCCCTGTATACCTCCACTGACTGTATATACAGAGACCCCCCCTGTATACCTCCACTGACTGTATATACAGAGAGACCCCCCCCTGTATACCTCCACTGAACTGTATATACAGAGACCCCCTGTATACCTCCACTGACTGTATATACAGAGACCCCCCCTGTATACCTCTACTGACTGTATATACAGAGACCCCCCCTGTATAACCTCCACTGACTGTATATACAGAGAGACCCCCTGTATACCTCCACTGACTGTATATACAGAGAGACCCCCCCCTGTATACCTCCACTGACTGTATATACAGAGAGACCCCCTGTATACCTCCACTGACTGTATTTATACAGAGACCCCCCCCTGTATACCTCCACTGACTGTATATACAGAGACCCCCCCTGTATACCTCTACTGACTGAGACCCTCCCCCCTGTATACCTCCACTGACTGTATATACAGAGACCCCCCCTGTATACCTCCACTGACTGTATATACAGAGAGACCCCCGAGGGGTGAATACCTCCAGACTGTATATACAGAGACCCCCCCTGTATACCTCCACTGACTGTATATATACAGAGACCCCCCCTGTATGTACTGATACACAGAGACCCCCCCTGTATACCTCCACTGACTGTATATACAGAGACCCCCCCTGTATACCTCCACTGACTGTATATACAGAGACCCCCCCCTGTATACCTCCACTGACTGTATATACAGAGACCCCCCCCTGTATACCTCCACTGACTGTATATACAGAGACCCCCCTGTATACCTCCACTGACTGTATATACAGAGAGACCCCCCTGTATACCTCCACTGACTGTATATACAGAGACCCCCCGTATACCTCTACTGACTGTATACAGAGACCCCCCCTGTATCCACTGACTGTATATACAGAGACCCCCCCTGTATACCTCCACTGACTGTATATACAGAGACCCCCCTGTATACCTCCACTGACTGTATATACAGAGACCCCCCCTGTATACCTCCACTGACTGTATATACAGAGACCCCCCTGTATACCTCCACTGACTGTATATACAGAGACCCCCCCTGTATACCTCCACTGACTGTATATACAGAGACCCCCCCTGTATACCTCCACTGACTGTATATACAGAGACCCCCCCTGTATACCTCCACTGACTGTATATTACAGAGACCCCCCCCCTGTATACCTCCACTGACTGTATATACAGAGACCCCCCCTGTATACCTCCACTGACTGTATATACAGAGACCCCCCCTGTATACCTCCACTGACTGTATATACAGAGACCCCCCCCTGTATACCTCCACTGACTGTATATACAGAGAGACCCCCCCTGTATACCTCCACTGACTGTATATACAGAGACCCCCCCCCTGTATACCTCCACTGACTGTATATACAGAGAGACCCCCCTGTATACCTCCACTGACTGTATATATACAGAGACCCCCCCCCTGTATACCTCCACTGACTGTATATACAGAGAGCCCCCCCCTGTATACCTCCACTGACTGTATATACAGAGAGACCCCCCCTGTATACCTCCACTGACTGTATATACAGAGACCCCCCCTGTATACCTCCACTGACTGTATATACAGAGACCCCCCTGTATACCTCCACTGACTGTATATACAGAGACCCCCCCCTGTATACCTCCACTGACTGTATATACAGAGAGACCCCCCCCTGTATACCTCCACTGACTGTATATACAGAGAGACCCCCCTGTATATACCTCCACTGACTGTATATACAGAGACCCCCCCTGTATACCTCCACTGACTGTATATACAGAGACCCCCCCCTGTATACCTCCACTGACTGTATATACAGAGACCCCCCCCCTGTATACCTCCACTGACTGTATATACAGAGACCCCCCCTGTATACCTCCACTGACTGTATATACAGAGACCCCCCCTGTATACCTCCACTGACTGTATATACAGAGACCCCCCCTGTATACCTCCACTGACTGTATATACAGAGAGACCCCACCTGTATACCTCCACTGACTGTATATACAGAGACCCCCCCTGTATACCTCCACTGACTGTATATACAGAGACCCCCCTGTATACCTCACTGACTGTATATACAGAGACCCCCCCTGTATACCTCCACTGACTGTATATACAGAGACCCCCCCTGTATACCTCCACTGACTGTATATACAGAGACCCCCCCTGTATACCTCCACTGACTGTATATACAGAGAGACCCCCCTGTATACCTCCACTGACTGTATATACAGAGACCCCCCCTGTATACCTCCACTGACTGTATATACAGAGCCCCCCCCCTGTATACCTCCACTGACTGTATATACAGAGACCCCCCCTGTATACCTCCACTGACTGTATATACAGAGACCCCCCCTGTATACCTCCACTGACTGTATATACAGAGACCCCCCCTGTATACCTCCACTGACTGTCCATGACTGTATATACAGAGACCCCCCTGTATACCTCCACTGACTGTATATACCCCCCCCTGTATACCTCCACTGACTGTATATACAGAGACCCCCCCTGTATACCTCCACTGACTGTATATACAGTATATAGACCACTGACCCTGTATATATACAGAGACCCTCCTGTATACCTCCCACTGACTGTATATACATGTACCTCCACTGACTGTATATACAGAGTATATACAGAGACCCCCCCTGTATACCTCCACTGACTGTATATACAGAGACCCCCCCCCTGTATACCCCCTGACTGTATATACAGAGACCCCCCTGTATACCTCCACTGACTGTATATACAGAGACCCCCCCCCTGTATACGGGACCCCATACAGCTTACATGACAGACCAGGCCCCCCTCCTGACCCGATGAGGCCCGGTACTGGAGTACTGCCATCACCCCCGTCACCCACAGCCCCGTCGGTGCCCACCTTTCCTTCACTCCTCCATGTCGGATGGAGATGCTCCTGTTCTCCTCCTGCATTGATGTCACACCCACATGGACCCAGTTCTCTGAGAGGCCCCGACGGTCCCCATAACATACCTGCACCACGTCGGCCGGCTTGTGGATATGCTCTTTGAAGACCAGCATGGTTGGAGCGTACATGTTGATGTTGTATTGGCTGCTCATCTGTTCCGTCTCTCTTTGGCCGAGGTCCACGTAGCCAAATGACAGGTACTCTTTATAGGCAAAGGCGGTGAGCTGACAGAGGAACGCAGATGTGAATATACATTCCCAGCACAGAAGGTTCACCAGGGAAATGCGACAATGAAATGTTACACTCCGGCTTTAGTGAATAATGAGTTACAGTGTTACTGAACCCCCAACAGTACAATCAGTCTGTATATGGAGCTTGTTATACTCCCTGTGGAACCTAAGGGGTTAATCCTCTGCACTATGTAAAAAGGCGGTTTTGATCCTGTCTTCTCTGATCCTCCCCTTCTTCCAGTGAAGCCCCCCCCCTTATCTCATGAGACGACATAGGGTTTGGAGTCACTCTGCACATGCTCAGTTTGGTGTGTAATGCTAGAGGTTTTATTTTTTTCTTGGGAGAGTGCATGTGATCAGCACAGGGCCAATCAGCACTGTCCAGACAGAAGTCAGGGGTTATGCATCCTCCTAGAGCAGAATGAAAATTCCTCCTATAAGCTTTAACCAGTGCTCTGCTGGACACTGATAGACTGCTATATACTGCTGATGAGAAAAGAGATTTAGCAATTTAATAGTGAATGCGGGGTCCGGGGAGAGAGGGGGTACGGGGAACGCGGGGTCCGGGGAGAGCGGGTACGGGGGAACGCGGGGTCCGGGGAGAGCGGGTACGGGGAACGCGGGGTCCGGGGAGAGCGGGTACGGGGAGAGCGGGGTCCGGGGAGAGCGGGTACGGGGAGAGCGGGTACAGGGAACGCGGGGTCCGGGGAGAGCGGGTACAGGGAACGCGGGGTCCGGGGAGAGCGGGTACAGGGAACGCGGGGTCCGGGGAGAGCGGGTACAGGGAACGCGGGGTCCGGGAGAGAGGGGGGGAACGCGGGGTCCGGGGAGAGCGGGGTACAGGGAACGCGGGGTCCGGGTCCGGGAGAGAGCGGGTACAGGGAACGCGGGGTCCGGGGAGAGCGGGTACAGGGAACGCGGGGTCCGGGGAGAGCGGGTAGGGTACAGGGAACGCGGGGTCCGGGGGGGGAGAGCGGGTACAGGGAACGCGGGGTCCGGGGAGAGCGGGTACAGGGAAGCGGGGGTCCGGGGAGAGCGGGTACAGGGAACGCGGGGTCCCGGGGAGAGCGGGTACAGGGAACGCGGGGTCCGGGAGAGCGGGTACAGGGAACGCGGGGTCCGGGGAGAGGGGGGTACAGGGAACGCGGGGGGGTCCAGGGAACGCGGGGGGAGAGCGGGTACAGGGAACGCGGGGTCCGGGGAGAGCGGGTACAGGGAACGCGGGGTCCGGGGAGAGCGGGTACAGGGAACGCGGGGTCCGGGGAGAGCGGGGGTACAGGGAACGCGGGGTCCGGGGAGAGCGGGTACAGGGAACGCGGGGTCCGGGGAGAGCGGGTACAGGGAACGCGGGGCCCGGGGAGAGCGGGTACAGGGAACGCGGGGCCCGGGGAGAGCGGGTACAGGGAACGCGGGGTCCGGGGAGAGCGGGTACAGGGAACGCGGGGGTCCGGGGAGAGCGGGTACAGGGAACGCGGGGCCCGGGGAGAGCGGTACAGGGAACGCGGGGTCCGGGGGAGAGCGGGGGGTACAGGGAACGGGGGGTCCGGGGAGAGCGGCTATAGTGAATGCGGGGTCCGGGGGAGAGCGGATATAGTGAATGCGGGGTCCGGGGAGAGCGGATATAGTGAATGCGGGGTCCGGGGAGAGCGGATATAGTGAATGCGGGGTCCGGGGGAGAGCGGATATAGTGAATGCGGGGTCCGGGGAGAGCGGATATAGTGAATGCGGGGTCCGGGGAGAGCGGATATAGTGAATGCGGGGTCCGGGGAGCGGATATAGTGAATGCGGGGTCCGGGGAGAGCGGATATAGTGAATGCGGGGTCCGGGGAGAGCGGATATAGTGAATGCGGGGTCCGGGGAGAGCGGATATAGTGAATGCGGGGTCCGGGGGAGAGCGGATATAGTGAATGCGGGGTCCGGGGAGAGCGGATATAGTGAATGCGGGGTCCGGGGAGAGCGGATATAGTGAATGCGGGGTCCGGGGGAGAGCGGATATAGTGAATGCGGGGTCCGGGGAGAGTGAATGCGGATGTAGTGAATGCGGGGTCGGGGGGAGAGCGGATATAGTGAATGCGGGGTCCGGGGAGAGCGGATGAATAGTGAATGCGGGGTCCGGGAGAGCGGATATAGTGAATGCGGGGTCCGGGGAGAGCGGATATAGGGAATGCGGGGTCCGGGGAGAGCGGATATAGGGAATGCGGGGTCGGGGAGAGCGGATATAGGGAATGCGGGGTCCGGAGAGCGGATATAGGGAATGCGGGGTCCGGGGTTTAGGAACACTTTAAGTCCAACGAGGTGCATGCCACTTATCTCCATTATCTACATCTGATAGGTTTATGACACTCCCAGAGGAGACATTGGGGCTCTGGGAGGAAAAAAGAAAGCACACACGGCAGCTATGCCCTCCCCTACCCTCTGATGCCCATTCTCAGAAGCCTTAAACATTTGTGAATAAGGTCACATAATACAAAGGCTTTTGTGATTGGGTAGAAGGTCACATGACCTCTTGTAATGAACATGTGATCACTCAAGAATTGACACTAAAAAAAAAAAGACACCGACACACGCCTTGGGCTGTACCATGGATTCACAATGTCGTCTCCCCCACCGAGCACGACCCTCTAACACCTACCTTGTAGATAAGGGGCACCGGGGGCAACTGATCGAACAGCAGCACGTGCGGTTTATTCTCTTGTTTCCAGTTGTCGAGGAAACGGACGTAGTTTTTATCGGTTATCTGGAAGCAGAAACAATGTTTAACCCCTTCAATGCCGGGCACTTCTCCCCCCCTTCCTGCCCACCCGGCCACTCCCCCCCCCTTCCTGCCCACCGGGCACTCCCCCCCCCTTCCTGCCCACCGGGCACTCCCCCCCCCCCCCCTTCCTGCCCACCAGCACTCCCCCCCCCCCCTTCCTGCCCACCAGGCACTCCCCCCCCCCTTCCTGCCCACCAGGCACTCCCCCCCACTCTTCCTGCCCACCCCCGGCCACTCCCCTCCCCCCCCCCCCCCTTCCTGCCCAGGCCAAATTTTCAGCTTTCAGTGCTGTTGCACTTTGAATGACAATTGCACGGTCATGCAACACTGTAACCCCATGAAATTTTTATAATTTTTTTCACACAGAGCTTTCTTTTGGTGGAATTTAATCACTACTGAGATTTTTATTTTTTGCTAAATAAAAAAAAAAAAAAAAACCACCTGAAACTTTTGGAAAAAAAAAAAAAAAAAAAAAAAAAAAAAAAAAAAAAAAAAACACTTTCATTGTTTCTGTTATAAAATTTTGCAAATAAATAAAATTTCTTCACAAATTTAGGTCAAAATGTATTCTGCTACATTTCCTTAGTGGAAAAAAATAATAATAATAATAATAATTGAATTTGTATTTTTTTTCAAATGTTTCTTCTTTTTTTTCCCCCATTTTATTTTTCAGCACTGTGACCAAAGCAACACAAGGTTACCATAGTAACACTGAACTACTCTGGATAAGTGATCAGGATTTTTTTTTTTTTTTTAACACATTATGATCGCTAATACCGATGTATTCCATCATTGTTACTGAATGAAACTGATTAATTCAGTCTTCTGTTGTGACTAGCTGTGATTGGGCAAAGCTGATCACATGATACAGATGGGCTGTGATTGGCCCTGTCTGTATCATGTGACTGCCTTGACCAGTCACAGCTAACAACATAATTGTATACAATGAATGGAATGACGAGAAGCAGTCCATTGTATACAATTGACGTGATCTGATTGGTCACAGCGGTCACATGACACTGGCCATGGGCCGCTGTAGTGATATGTCACCAGCTGTGTCCCGCGGACGCAGCCAGTAACAGATTGCGCCGCTGCGGCTCGTTTTGACAGGACGTCATATGACGCCAGTCACAACGGCGAGCGTCCCGCCCGGCCGTCAATCTGCTATAGGCCGGGCTGGAACTTGTGAAAGTGGTTCTCCAGTCACCGTAAGTCACCGATCTTACTGCTGCGATTTAGAATCGAACGATTTGCGTGCGATTTCTGAAGACTTTATTGCGACTTGTGAAGATTTCTTGCTATTTGCGGTGCGATTTCCATTATATTTTATGCATGCAAAAACTACGTTTGAAATCGCGCCGCAGAAAATCGCACGTGTTAAGGCCCCGACGTTCGCATTCGATCGATTTCACTCTGCACATCGCTCCGGGGTGACCCGGCACTTTTGGTGAAGTTCCGTTATAATAACATTGGGAAAGGTCCGTCCCAGTCAGGGACACCTGGAGAAAATTCTGCTCTCACCTTGTCCACCAGATTCCCCGGGAGGAGACTTTCCACGAAATGTCGCAGGTTTTCCCTCAGCACCGCGTTGTGGAAGAAGGAGATCTTCCCGTTAATGACGCCCAGGATGGACGGGGTGCTGTGTGCACCAAGATGGTGGGCGAGCCGCCTCTCGTACCCAGCATGCACCACTCCTATCCCCACACCTGCAAAAAACAGAAGATTCATTTATTATTTCTTTCAGCAAAACAAATGAAATTTAACAAAAAATTTATATATATATATGCAATAGCACCAATATCAACCCATCCCCCCCCCCCCCCCCATGCCAGGGGGAACCCCGGATTCTGAACTATCCTTCCAACCCACATCCAATCCCTGTCCAAGTCATGCCACCCCCACATCTCCAGAACACGCCCCTTTATAACCAATGACACCACAAAGCTCCTAATTCACTCCCTGGTTATCTGTCGCCTCGACTATTGCAACTCCCTCTTCATTGGCCGACCTTTACATAGGCCACACCCCCCTCCAGTCCATCATGAATGCTACTGCCAGACTTATCCACCTTACCAACCGTTCACTGGCCTCCACCTCTCTCTGCCAATCCCTCCACTGGCCTCCATTCAGTGTCCTCCACCCCTCTCTGCCAATCCCTCCACTGGCCTCCATTCACTGTCCTCCACCCCTCTCTGCCAATCCCTCCACTGTCCTCCAATCAGTGTCTTCCACCCCTCTCTGCCAATCCCTCCACTGGCCTCCATTCAGTGGCCTCCACCCCTCTCTGCCAATCCCTCCACTGGCCTCCATCCCTCTCTGCCAATCCCTCCACTGGCCTCCATTCAGTGTCCTCCACCCCTCTCTGCCAATCCCTCCACTGGCCTCCATTCAGTGTCCTCCACCCCTCTCTGCCAATCCCTCCACTGGCCTCCATTCAGTGTCCTCCACCCCCTCTCTGCCAATCCCTCCACTGGCCTCCATTCAGTGTCCTCCACCCCTCTCTGCCAATCCCTCCACTGGCCTCCATTCACTGTCCTCCACCCCTCTCTGCCAATCCCTCCACTGTCCTCCAATCAGTGTCTTCCACCCCTCTCTGCCAATCCCTCCACTGGCCTCCATCCCTCTCTGCCAATCCCTCCACTGGCCTCCATCCCTCTCTGCCAATCCCTCCACTGGCCTCCATCCCTCTCTGCCAATCCCTCCACTGGCCTCCATCCCTCTCTGCCAATCCCTCTACTGGCCTCCATCCCTCTCTGCCAATCCCTCTACTGGCCTCCATTCAGTCTCCTCCACCCCTCTGCCAATCCCGTCACTGACCACCATTCAGTGTCCTCCACCTTTCTCTGCCAATCCCTCCACCCCTCTCTGCCAATCCCTCCACTGACCTCCATTCAGTGTCCTCCACCCCTCTCTGCCAATCCCTCCACTGGCCTCCATTCAGTGTCCTCCACCCCTCTCTGCCAATCCCTCCACTGGCCTCCATTCAGTGTCCTCCACCCCTCTCTGCCAATCCCTCCACTGGCCTCCATTCAGTGTCCCTCCACCCTCTCTGCCATTCCCTCCACTGGCCTCCATTCAGTGTCCTCCACCCCCTCTCTGCCAATCCCTCCACTGGCCTCCACTCAGTGTCCTCCACCCCTCTCTGCCAATCCCTCCACTGGCCTCCATTCAGTGTCCTCCACCCTCTCTGCCATTCCCTCCACTGGCCTCCATTCAGTGTCCTCCACCCCTCTCTGCCAATCCCTCCACTGGCTTCCACTTGCCCAACGAATAAAATTCCAAATACTAACAACTTAGAAAGCCATCCACAACTCTGCCCCCGGCGACATCACCAACCCGGTCTCAAAATATCAACCAAACCGCTCTCTTCGATCCTCCAAAACCTTCTGCTCTCTATTTACGGGGTCACCTCCTCCCACGCTCACCTCTAGGACTCCTCCCGAGCTTCTCCAATCCTATGGAACTCCCTACCCCTATCTGTCCGGCTATCTCCTAATTTTACCCACCTTTAGACGATCCCTGAAAACCTCTTTAAAGAACCTGTCCTGCTTCTACCTAGTAAACTGCCATTTATTTCCTCCATCAGCTCCTCCCCCGCAACTATTACCTTTTGTATCTCTCAACCCTTCCCCCTGGATTGTAAGCTCCCAGGATCAGGGCCCTCCGTTTCCTCTTGTACAGAATGTGTGTGACCTGACGGAGTGAGGATCTCTCACACATACCCAGTCCCTCCAACTCCTGCACCACCTCCTTCCATACGGGCTCGATGTGGATGCAGCTGAAGCACCAATCGGAGGTGATCTTGATGAGGTAGGGTTTGCGGAAGCTGTCCGGGACCACCTCGTTGATGTAATGGGAGAACTGGAGGAGATACTTCTCATCGGTGGAGTCTCGGCGTTCCGAGTTGAAGGGGAAGTGGAAGAAGGACTCGTCAAAGTAGAAGCTGTCGTGGAAGTGGCGGAAATGGTGGTGGTGCTGCTGCTGGCTGTAGCCCTGGTTGTCCCCCAGTCCCCGTACCGGGTCGTAGTTGGTCCTCTTCTCCTCGTTGGACAAAATCTAAAAAGGATATTTAATGCAATCATGAAGTTTAATCTGCTTAGATTTTTCCTTCCTTGGTCTCTCCATCATCAACATGAAAATACATTTTTTTAACCACCTCCCGTCCGGCCACTGTATACAAACGTCCGGACGGTGGCACTCCAGGTTGCCATTTATAAACGCCCCCCACCATTATGAACTGTGCACGCTCCCTGGGAGCGCACAGCGCCACGATCCGGTGCCCGTTGTGTCTGTAGGACACAGTGGAAGACCTGTGCGAGGTCCAGATCATGTGATCACTGATTGGCCAATCACTGATCACATGACGAGTGGTAAGCAAGATGTCACTTCTGACATCATTGCTTACTATGTGTGAAATCTGTGAATGATCACAGAGATCACATGGTACAGGGCTATTCACAACAGCCGTGTACCATGTGACCAATCACAACTTGTACAGAATTTCTCAATGGCTGCAGGAATGCAGCCAGAGAGAAGGAGAAATGATTGTTTTTACAGCCTTTATGGGTGTAAAGCAATCAGTGAAAAAAAAAAATCTTTATCACCCCCCCACAAGTAGTACAGTGTTACCATGGTGACACTACTGCTAGGATGACAGTATGTAGAAAAAAAAACCCATAAATATAAAAAAATAAAATTAAAATGTAAAAAAAAAAATTGTTTTTTAAATTATAATTTTTGGTTACAAACTAATTTGGGTTATTTTTTTACTAAAAAGATAACGGAATACATTTTGGCCGAGATTTATGATGAAAATATTATTTATTTGCAAAATTTTATAAGAAAAACACTTTTTTTCTAAATTTTTGGACTTTCATTTATATATAAAAAAAAAAAAAAAAAAATAAATAAAAATCCCAGCTGTGGATAAATACCACCAAAATAAAGCTTTATCTGTCTAAAAAAAAAATGCAAAAAAATTCATATAGGTACAGTGTTGCATGACCGCTCAATTGTCATTCAAAGTGTGATAGCGCTGAAAGCTGAAAATTGGCCTGGAGGTGGTCGGGGGGGGGGGGGGGGGCAAAGGGGGGGGGGAAAGCGTCCGGACCGGAAGGGGGGGGGGGCAAAGCGTCCGGACCGGGGGGGGGGGGCAAAGCGTCCGGACCGGAAGGGGGGGGGGGGCAAAGCGTCCGGACCGGAAGGGGGGGGGGGGGCAAAGCGTCCGGACCGGAAGGGGGGGGGGGGGCAAAGCGTCCGGACCGGAAGGGGGGGGGGGGCAAAGCGTCCGGACCGGAAGGGGGGGGGGGCAAAAAGGGGTCCGGACCAAAGCGGAAAGGGGGGGGGGGGGGGGGGCAAAGCGTCCGGACCGGAAGGGGGGGGGGCAAAGCGTCCGGACCGGAAGGGGGGGGGCAAAGCGTCTGGACCGGAAGGGGGGGGGCAAAGCGTCCGGACCGGAAGGGGGTAAATAAGATTTCATTACATACCTTGTTTTAGACCCATTGGGTCTCTGTGCTTCTCTATGAAATTCAGGCAGATCATGGCTGGTGGGAGGAGTGGCAGGGTACATAGTTTTCTGAACACATCACAGCGTCCTGCCTCTGCTCCTCTCCAGAGCCCGCAGTCCAGGAGAGGAGCCGGCGCACCTGTGCCAGACTGACGGGGGAGGAGCCGGCGCACCTGTGCCAGGGGGGGACTGACGGGGGAGGAGCCGGCGCACCTGTGCCAGACTGACGGGGGAGGAGCCGGCGCACCTGTGCCAGACTGACGGGGGAGGAGCCGGCGCACCTGTGCCAGACTGACGGGGGAGGAGCCGGCGCACCTGTGCCAGACTGACGGGGGAGGAGCCGGCGCACCTGTGCCAGACTGACGGGGGAGGAGCCGGCGCACCTGTGCCAGACTGACGGGGGAGGAGCCATACACCTGTGCTTTTTTTTAATAAGTATATATCCATAATGAATGTCAGGGAACACGACGTCTCTGAATACCTCATAAGCTTTGCTGACTTGGGATGAACTTGTCTTCTGCTCCCGGGTTCTTGTTCTTATCCGGATGCCTGAAACCAAAGAAATATTATTAATACAAACCTTCCAATCCAATCCATGACTGCCGTCTTCTCATCGTGGCACAGAGACACCGGGGGCACAGACACACCGCGGCGCAGACACACTGGGGTGCAGGCATGAGGCACAGACACACCGGGGCGCAGACACACCGGGGCGCAGACACACCGGGGCGCAGACACACCGGGGCGCAGACAGGAGGCGCAGACACACCGGGGCGCAGACACACCGGGGCGCAGACACACCGGGGCACAGACAGGAGGCACAGACACACCGAGGCGCAGGCACACCGAGGCGCAGGCACACCGAGGCGCAGGCACCGAGGCGCAGGCACACCGAGGCGCAGGCACACCGAGGCGCAGGCACACCGAGGCGCAGGCACACCGAGGCGCAGGCACACCGAGGCGCAGGCACACCGGGGCGCAGGCACACCGAGGCGCAGGCACACCGGGGCGCAGACACACCGGGGCGCAGACACACCGGGGCGCAGACACACCGGGGGCACAGACACACCGGGGGCACAGACACACCGGGGGCACAGACACACCGGGGGCACAGACACACCGGGGGCACAGACACACCGGGGGCACAGACACACCGGGGGCACAGACACACCGGGGGCACAGACACACCGGGGGCACAGACACACCGGGGGCACAGACACACCGGGGGCACAGACACACCGGGGGCACAGACACACCGGGGGGGCACAGACACACCGGGGGCACAGACACACCGGGGGCACAGACACACCGGGGGGGGCACAGACACACCGGGGGCACAGACACACCGGGGGCACAGACACACCAAGGCACAGACAGGAGGCACAGACACACCGAGGCGCAGGCACACCGGGGCACAGACACACCGAGGCGCAGGCACACCGGGGCACAGACAGGAGGCACACCGTGGGACACACCGGGGCGCAGGCATGAGACACAGACACACCGGGGGCGCAGACACACCGGGGCGCAGACAGGAGGCACAGACACACCGCGGTATGAATAATGACAGGAGCAGGGATGGGGGAGGTTTTGGTGAGGGGGGCGCCCCCCACTGCCGGCTGTATGTAGTCTGGACGCTCGCTCACCATTCCCGGGCCAGCTTCTTGTACGCCTTTTTAATGTCGGCTTGACTGGCGGTGCGGCTCACTCCCAGGACGCGGTACGGATCAAAATCAGCAACAGACAGGATGTGGAGGGCGAGGATGGAGAACACCAGGAGCCGCAGGAGGAGGCGCAGGTTTCTGTGGCCCATTTCTCACAACGTCTCAATAATACCTGGAGAGAGGAAGACAAAAAAGGAATCTTAGATATCGTCTACAGGTCAGATGTGTGTCACCCACGGCAACGGGGAGCCCCACCGGCTGCACCTTCCTAGGACACCCGAGAGATCTGGGTACCTGAGGACTCCTCCCCCCCATGTGACATCTCTGGGTACCCGAGGACTCCTCCCCCCCACCATGTGACATCTCTGGGTACCCGAGGACTCCTCCCCCCCATGTGACATCTCTGGGTACCCGAGGACTCCTCCCCCCCATGTGACATCTCTGGGTACCCGAGGACTCCTCCCCCCCATGTGACATCTCTGGGTACCCGAGGACTCCTCCCCCCACCATGTGACATCTCTGGGTACCCGAGGACTCCTCCCCCCACCATGTGACATCTCTGGGTACCTGAAGACTCCTCCTCCCCCATGTGACATCTCTGGGTACCCAAGGACTCCTCCCCCCACCATGTGACATCTCTGGGTACCCGAGGACTCCTCCCCCCCATGTGACATCTCTGGGTACCCGAGGACTCCTCCCCCCCATGTGACATCTCTGGGTACCCGAGGACTCCTCCCCCCACCATGTGACATCTCTGGGTACCCGAGGACTCCTCCCCCCACCATGTGAGACATCTCTGGGTACCTGACGACTCCTCCCCCCACCATGTGACATCTCTGGGTACCTGAAGACTCCTCCTCCCCCCATGTGACACCTCTGGGTACCTGAGCAGCCAATCACCAAGCACCAGAGCAGTCACATGGCAGGAAAAGGAGGGAATGCTCCCCCATATGCAGAAATACTGGGTACTTTTCAACACTCCTGGTGGGTAAGGCAGAGGGACAATACTCGTGTACTGATGGTGGTGTCACCAATACGGCTGAAGTACACGGCAAACAATGAAAGGAAGACTTTGTAATCCGAGTCGCATCGTTCCTGAACCTCCCGGGATATGGATCTGGTCAGGTAAGTCGCAGAGGGGGTTGTTCATCAGTTTCAGCTGCGTCTCAAAAGCGGGGACAGTTCTCAAGAGCGGGGAGGAGATTCCGGGAGACCAGAGCGGGGAGGAGATTCCGGGAGACCAGAGCGGGGAGGAGATTCCGGGAGACCAGAGCGGGGAGGAGATTCCGGGAGACCAGAGCGGGGAGGAGATTCCGGGAGACCAGAGCGGGGAGGAGATTCCGGGAGACCAGAGCGGGGAGGAGATTCCGGGAGACGAGAGCACGGAGGAGATTCCAGGAGACGAGAGCACGGAGGAGATTCCAGGAGACGAGAGCACGGAGGAGATTCCAGGAGACGAGAGCACGGAGGAGATTCCAGAAGACGAGAGCACGGAGGAGATTCCGGGAGACGAGAGCACGGAGGAGATTCGGGAGACGAGAGCACGGAGGAGATTCCAGGAGACGAGAGCACGGAGGAGATTCCGGGAGACGAGAGCACAGAGGAGATTCCGGGAGACGAGAGCACGGAGGAGATTCCAGGAGACGAGAGCACGGAGGAGATTCCGGGAGACGAGAGCACAGAGGAGATTCCGGGAGACGAGAGCACAGAGGAGATTCCAGGAGACGAGAGCACGGAGGAGATTCCAGGAGACAGGCAGTTCCTCTAGGAGAGCTGGACAGGGCTGTAGAAGGTCTGTAACCCATCAGCAGGACCGGTATCTGCTCCTTTGTGAAGGAGGAACAGGATGAGCCCTGCCAGAGTCCTACAAAATGACCTCCAGCAGGCCACTGGTGTGAATGTCTCTGACCAAACAATCAGAAACAGACTTCATGAGGGTGGCCTGAGGGCCCGACGTCCTCTAGTGGGCCCTGTGCTCACTGCCCGGCACCATAGAGCTGGATTGGCATTGGCCATTGAACCCCAGAATTGGCAGGTCCACCACTGGCGCCCTGTGCTTTTCACAGATGAGAGCAGGTTCCCCCTGAGCACATGTGACAGACGTGGAAGGGACTGGAGAAGCCGTGGAGAACGTTCTGCTGCCTGTAACATGGTTCAGCATGACCGTTTTTGGTGGTGGGTCAGTGATGGTCTGGGGAGGCATCTCCATGGAGGGACACACAGACCTCTACAGGATAGACAATGGTACCCTGACTGCCATTAGGTATGGGGATGAAATCCTTGGACCCATTGTCAGACCCTACGCTAGTGCAGTGGGTCCTGGGTTCCTCCTGGCGCGGGGGGTCCCGGGTTCCTCCTGGTGCAGACCATGCCCAGCCTCATGTGGGGAGAGTATGCAGGCAGTTCCTGGAGGATGAAGGAATTGATACCATTGAATGGCCCCCACGCTCTCCTGACCTAAATCCAATAGAACCCCTCTGGGATGTCATGTTGCAGTGCATCCGATGCCACCAGGTTGCACCTCAGACTGTCCAGGAGCTCAGTGATGGTCCAGATCTGGGAGGAAATCCCCCAGGACACCATCCGTGGTCTCATTAGGCCCCTCCCCTGACGTTGTCAGGTATGCATACAAGCACGTGGGGGCCACACAGACTACTGAGGGCCATTCTGAGTTGCTGCAATGACATTTCACCAACATGGACTCGCCTGCTGCATCATTTCTTCACTTTGATTTTCGGGGGTGTCTGTGAATTCAGTCCTCTGTAGGTCCATCATTTCCATCCAACGATGGGGCGTCCCCCCCCCCCCCCCCCCCATCACCCATCCCCCTCCATGTCAGTATGGAGATCCAGCAGGAGATTCCTCCCCATTGAGATCTGATGGGTTGTCAGAGTCTTCCTGTCATTTTTCAGAGCTGTGCAACGGCTCATATTTTGTCAACAGGACCACTGGAAGCTCCGCCCATCCCTGATCCTCCCCAAGTGTCACATTAATGAGATCAAAACTAAAACTTTTCTATCAGTGTGGGGCAGAGACGACGGGGGACAGAGGGGACAGAGACGACGGAGGACGGAGGGGGCAGAGACGACGGGGGACAGAGGGGGCAGAGACGACGGAGGGGACAGAGGGGGACAGAGACGACGGGGGACAGAGGGGGCAGAGACGACGGGGGACAGAGGGGGCAGAGACGACGGGGGACAGAGGGGGCAGAGACGACGGGGACAGAGGGGGCAGAGACGACGGAGGGGACAGAGGGGGCAGAGACGACGACGGAGGGGACAGAGGGGGCAGAGACGACGGAGGGGACAGAGGGGGGCAGAGAGACGGAGGGGACAGAGGGGGCAGAGACGACGGAGGGGACAGACAGAGACGACGGAGGGGACAGAGGGGGCAGAGACGACGGGGACAGAGGGGGCAGAGAGACGGGGGGACAGATGGGGGGCAGAGACGACGACGGGGGGACAGAGGGGGCAGAGAGAGACGGAGGAGGGGGACAGAGGGGGCAGAGACGACGGAGGGGACAGAGGGGGCAGAGACGACGGACGGGGGACAGAGGGGGGCAGAGACGACGGGGGGACAGAGGGGGCAGAGACGACGGAGGGGACAGAGGGGGCAGAGACGACGACGGAGGGGACAGAGGGGGCAGAGACGACGGAGGGGACAGAGGGGGCAGAGACGACAGAGGGGACTGAGAGGGGGACAGAGGGGACAGAGGGGGGGCAGGGGGGGACAGACAGGGGGGACAGAGGGGGCAGGGGGGGACACGGGAGGGGGCAGAGGGGGACAGAGGGGACAGAGGGGGCAGGGGGGGACAGAGGGGGACAGACGGGGGAGGGGGGACAGACAGGGGGGGACAGAGAGGGGACAGAGAGAGGGGGGGCAGAGACGACAGGGGGACAGAGGGGGCAGAGACGACGGGGGGACAGAGGGGGCAGAGACGACGGGGGGACAGAGGGGGGCAGAGAGACGGGGGACAGAGGGGGAGCAGACGAGGGGGACAGAGGGGGCAGAGACGACGGGGGGGACAGAGGGGGCAGAGACGACGGGGGACAGAGGGGGGCAGAGACGACGGGGGACAGAGGGGGCAGAGACGACGGGGGGACAGACAGAGTACGACGGGGGGACAGAGGGGGCAGAGACGACGGGGGGACAGAGGGGGCAGAGACGACGGAGGGGACAGAGGGGGCAGAGACGACGGAGGGGACAGAGGGGGCAGAGACGACGGAGGGGACAGAGGGGGCAGAGACGACGGAGGGGACAGAGGGGGCAGAGACGACGGAGGGGGACAGAGGGGGCAGAGACGACGGAGGGGGACAGAGGGGACAGAGGACGGGGGACAGAGACGACGGGGGGACAGAGACGACGGGGGACAGAGACGACGGGGGGACAGAGACGACGGGGGACAGAGACGACGGGGGACAGAGACAGACGGGGGACAGAGACGACGGGGGACAGAGAGGGGGGACAGAGACGACGGGGGACAGAGACGACGGGGGACAGAGACGACGGGGGACAGAGGGGGCAGAGACGACGGGGGGCAGAGAGACGACGGGGGGCAGAGAGACGGGGGGCAGAGACAGAGGGGGGCAGAGACGACGGAGGGGACAGACAGAGGGGGGGCAGAGAGACGGGGGACAGGAGGGGACAGAGACGACGGGGGGACAGAGACGACGGGGGACAGAGGGGCAGAGACGACGGGGGACAGAGACGACGGGGGGACAGAGACGACGGGGGGACAGAGACGAGGGGGACAGAGACGACGGGGGCAGAGACGACGGGGGGACAGAGGGGGCAGAGAGGGGGACAGAGACGACGGGGGACAGAGGGGGCAGAGACGACGGAGGGGACAGAGGGGGCAGAGACGACGGAGGGGACGGAGGGGGCGGAGAGGGACGGGGGACAGAGGGGACAGAGGGGACAGGGGGACAGAGGGGACAGAGGGGGCAGAGACGACGGAGGGGACGGAGGGGGACAGAGGGGACAGAGGGGACAGAGGGGGCAGAGGGGACGAGAGGGGACAGAGGGGGGGCAGAGCAGAGGGGGCAGGAGACGGAGACGACGGAGGGGACAGAGGGGGCAGAGACGACGGAGGGGACAGAGGGGACGGAGAGGGGACGGGGACGGAAGAGACGGAGGGGACAGAGGGGGA